TCTTTCTGTATTTATTTATTTATTTTGTATTTTAGTGCCGAAGCTGGCTTTGATATATAGACATATGCAGAATAGTCTCCCGTTTAACCATTTGGGGGCGATTAATCGAGCCGATCTAAAAAAACTAAGTTATTTATTAGAAACATAAAAAATATTACTATCACAAACCATCGGAGTAAAACAAAACCACAAAACTACAAAAGGAACTTTTGAAAAAGCGAAAAGAACATGAGGAATGACAGCATTCATAGCAGATTATATTATAATACTTGGGAATTAACTGCCCACCATAAACCACCAGCCGTCGAACGGAAAAGCCAGTGGAAACTGGTAATTCGTTTCGGGGTTCGAGTCCTCCACTGGGCATCCCTCCCTTTCGGTGCAGTGTGTAATGGCGGAGCGCGTAACACGTAAACAAACAAAAAATGTTCGCCATGAGGAGTGTATAAACATTATTAAATCAACCGTTTCAAGTAAGCTGCTGAATTGCATTTAATTACTGAATTAATAACTCAATCAAATAAATAAAAAATAAGTAATGATCTTGTATTTCATATTTGCCCCTGCACTACAACGAGTGAACTGCAATTGAACTATGACTTCCTGAACTACAACTTCTGTACAAGCATCAAATGCATTGTTGCGACAATGATAATTGACAAGAACTCTTCATGTGAGCTTCACCCCTTTCCTTTTATTTCTGGTTTGCTGCTCATTCAAATTTTTATGAAAATCTTATGCTCATTTGTTTTGGCTTTGATTATTTTTACAGTGAAGTATTTTTTGTGGAGTTCAGTGATTTATTTTAAGTAACTTTGCTTTGTTGCTACTCTCACGATTACTTGGCTAATACGATATGCGTTGAGCAATAAAATGATACTTTGCAATAAAAGATCATCGATTTAAAAGAAAGATAAAACTATTTTCCAAAACAAGTTGTAACACAGACTATTTTATGCGAATTTGAACTCAATAAAATTTCTCAAGCTATCTTTTAAATATTGTTCATTAATGCAATTTATAATTTAGATTCTAAATATGTTGTTGTAATTTATAGCGCACTCAAACAGCTGTAGCACCGACTATTTTATGCGAGTTTGAAATCAATAAAATTGCTCGACCTCTCTTTTAAATATTGTTATTTAATGCAATGTATAATTTAGATTCTAAAATATATTATTGTTATCTATCGTGTATTCTTTCGCTTTGAACTTTGAATTCTAATTTAATTAACATAACTAAAGAGCGTTTTGTCTAGATAAAACTACTAAAAATGCAAATAGATTCTTAATAGAATTTTTCTGTGTGTTATAATATCAATTGTTTCTCTTGCCTTTGTTTTTATCAGTTATTATATATTTATTGTCTCTGCATTTTCGTTCAGTGTATGTACTTTGCCGTATTGAATTTTCATACTCATATATGTATACAGGGACATCCAAAAGTCGTATACATCAGACTTCCAAAAATTATGGAAATTCTAATATGCGTATTAATGAAAAATGTTTTTAATTATACTGTTACATTAATATATTATTACAAGTAATATATCACTTTTAATACCAGTTGAATTTTATGCTGTTAGCTTTTGTTAGGTGCAAGGAGGACATGAGTTTTCCCCAACTAAATAACGCCGTTTTATGATTTCTGTTGTAGATTTCTATTCCTGCTATCGCTGAGGAATGCCGTACATTGGTGCTTCCAACAATGTATGCCGATCACTAGATTGGAAGTTGTAACATCTGCATTTCATGTTGGTGGTTTCTTTTCAAGCAGCTTTTATTAATTTCTCCAATAAAATTTTCAGTGCAATTTTTCAGCTTTTCCATTCCTCCGCTACCATTTTTTTTAAGTCTGCTAATCCTTACCACTAGACGATTTGTATGAAGGAATGTACTTGCATTAGACGTGTAGTGTCATCCTTTAAAGTTTTCCTGAGAAGTTTTGATTCATTTTATGTATTACAAGTGGGTGAGGAAATATAAATAATGCAGTTATCTCCTCTTTAAGAAAGCGCCTGGACCAACTGCAATGAAATAGTGAAGAGCAATAGAAATAAAATGTGAAAAATAGTTATGAAATTATTTGAAATAAATAAATAAATAAAATATCTAAACAATATAAAGGGATGAGGAAATAATGGCAAAAACGAATATGTTGATATATTGACTTTTAGTTGATTTTTTACATATTTATTCTGAATTTTGGAATTTACTGGTTCTGAATTTCATTTCTTTCGGGTGTTTGTGAATGTGGTTCTAAATTTCTTACTTTTTAAATATATATATATACATTGCGTATGTATATATAGTAAGCAGATTCAAATATCATATTAAATTTTGGATTTTTTATCCTTCCTTTTTGAGATAATTTTGCGTATGTGGTGTTTTTGTATGAACTTTGTTTTTGTACAGCATTGGTTTGTCTGGGGATTTTGGAATTCATTTTGTAGTTTATTTTTTTGCATTTGTAAATTTTTTGTGACAACTCATCATTCAGAAATTGAGTGCGATATTTGAATTAGCTTAGCTTATGTTTCGAATATGTAAATATCTCGCCTGGATTCTAAAAGCTGCTTTCTCAATTTAACATGCAAATAGGTTTAGAAATATTGCTAGTATTAAGTAAATTGTTCGTACGGAAATCATAAGCTTTTTTTCAAGCACACAATCTAAGATATTATTTAGTAAACTGAACTAATTAGAAAAAACTGTAATCTAAATTTTCGCGTTTAACAATTTTATGCATAAATGCTATGTTTGTCAGATATTTATAAATTCAGAAACCGATAAATTACTTTTCTATTCAACACAAGAATAATAATAATAGAACCCTAACAATTATCAGGATTCCCACAGTTTGAATGTTGAATTAGTAAGGGAATTTCCTTGCACAAAATTTGAGAGCCTGATGAATATATCAAATCATAAAGCGTTTATTAAACAACGATCGTTAGCTAATTAACGTCTTAAAGTAACAAAGGATCCAGTAACTTTCCTCTGTTATATTTATTCTTCTCACTGCATCATTCACTACGTTCTCTCATTTATTAGGAGGGATGAAGTCGCCTGAGATGGCTGATAAATTAAGAGGATCATTCAGGGGACTCTATGTGATCCATCATTTTGTTGGATGAGCTCCCTCAGAACGTTCTGAAGATGGTACAAGGAGGAATAGTCGGTCAATGCAGGCGATAGAAAGTCTGGTGACAGATTGGCGTCAGTTGAACTGGATAGAATATGTCCTATTCATAACTAGTTACATAAGGATATCTTTGGAACTCTTCTCATAATTCTGACTATAAGGAGTAAATTTTTATGCTGTAATTTCTTACCCCATATTAATAAAAGCATGGACCTACTCCTTAAACTTTTAGAACAATTGCGTTTCGAAGAATTTGAGTTTTGAGAGCTATATTTTGACTCACAATTTTATGAACTATAACGCTATTATTGTAATATAATTTAACTAAGTGAACGGGCAAAATGTTTGAACATTCTTAAGTTAAAGGCTTAAGTTCTTACGTTCTTTGCATTAAAATGGATTTAAAAATAAATTTTTAAGTTAAGCATAGAAGTCAAATTTTTAGCCATTTTCATTCTCAAAATTTATAATATGCATTAAAAGTATAAATTTCTTATTTCTTTTCTTACTTTACGAGCTTTTTAAAACAGTGTAATCTTTCTGAAATATATGGAGCATTTCATAAGCTTTGAAAAATAGTAACGAAGTTAATTATTTCCGTACCAATCTTACCTTTATCTATTTTTTTATTAAAGGTAGCTTATTGATTCCCTACGTCTAGACTACTCTTTCACCAAGAAACTTGCAGAAGCGGTTTTTCAATGTGAACAAACATTATATATGGAATTAATTTTAAACTTTGAGATTTGAAAACGACTATGCATTGAAAATGCATAAATTTGCACAAGAAAACTGTAAAGACAGCTACGACATAACTTAGTCTTTGAATTCCATTTAATGAAATCATATGAGTGGTAATTTAAAAAGAAGCTAATTTTATTTAAATGCTTTTTTGCTAATATTAAATAAATATTAGTAAAGAATGTCGGAGAATAAAAATTCAGGTATTTCTAATTACTTATTCGTTAAGAGAATATTTTGAAACTTCTAGGATTAAATCAATTATTTGTTTGAGTTTTGATAACGAACGAGGTTTTGATTACATTTTAGGACGCCATACTTTCCATTAGCATTTTATGGCTTGCTGGAAGATGCAAATGCGTTTATCCACTTTCAGAAAGAAGATGCTGATGCTTAGAAATTGCTGCATTTTCTATTTTCGTAAAATCATTGGTACTTCCTCAGCTTCAGAACATACTTAACCAGTATTAAAAGGCTTTATTATATAAGTGCAAAAAACTGTACCCTAAAAACGTTTTTATTGTGAAAGGTTTTTTAAAAATGTTTATAAATTAAGGAATGTAAAACATTAAAAAAATTATAAAACGAAATGATTTTGTGCCAGTTACACTAACATATGGACATATAACAGACATCTTTTCTAACTACCAGAAAGCTTCAAATATTTATAAAAGTTTTTGTAAGTGCTGTATTTTAATTTATATCGATTATAGATACCTTATTATAAAATGTAAAATTATTAAAAAGAGCATTTACTGCTTTTAAATTTGTAAAATTGTAAACTAATTAAATAAAAAAGATAAATGAAAGTTATACATATTACGCCGAATGGAAACATTCTAAGAATTTGCTATGTGTTACGATGCCTAAAGGATAAATTAAATGTCTTATGTTTTGCGCAGTAGCAAATGTTTGCCAATAGCTGTTTCTGGATGCTTTTCATTCTTCTCATTTGTCAATTTCTGTAGTACAATTATAATTACAGAATTCAATTCAGGGTTTTATATGTTAAGTCAAAAGAATACACTTATTTCGAGGTTTATTAAAAAGTATAAGAAATAAACCATTGTAATAAAATTTAACAGTGAAAACTACTATAAAAAGAACACAATTTGAAATACACTGAGCAAACACTGCAAGAAGTCAACATTCAGTCATTTAGGATACACATTTTCTGAAAAACAAATAGTACTATTCATTTTGTTTCTTTTAACTGCTCAGAGAAGAAAAAGCATTTATCGGAAAAACTGCTATTAAAACAATAGCTAATTTGACCATTTCCTCATTTCAGGAACATAACACTGAAAATATTAGGTTTCTTAAATTAACTCCTTACAACACAAACAAGAGCGTCATGAATCCATCCCACTTTCCTCTTCTTTAACCCCCAATCAAAGCAATTACTTTGGAGATGATTGCCAGGCCTTCCTCGGCAAATCCCTACGGCAGGACAAAAAAGCGCCGACTCCACAAAAACACGTCATTAGTTGCATTGAGCTTCGGTGCGATACCGCGCTGGAAAGGAAAATAGGAAAAGAAATAAAAAAAAGAAATCGCTATTCGTAAATAAAATGGATAGTATTGGAGAAGGAAGTTTTCATTTGTTCTATCAGATGTGGAGGTATGAAAGACAATAAAAATTTCTTAACGTAATTTGAGCGGAAGTATAGTTTTATGCACTGCTTGGCAGATTGGACGAAAGAGGAAGTTTTGTCGAAGAACTGTTCAATTTCGTTCAGCAGATTGCTTGAGACTCTCCGTGGTAAATTTTATCTAATTTATATGTTAGAGATTTCAGAATATTTATTTGTACATGCGCTATAGTCTGCATCGATAACTTTAGATTACATTTAGGTTTGAAATTATTATAATTTTATAATAATTCGGATCAATGATATAAGCTGCATTTTTTCAGGAAATATTTAATTTCCTATAATGTTGAGTCTCATAGTTGTCGTCATTTTATTCGAGAGTGTCTGGGTAAGAACATTTCAAAAGAAATTTTAATTTGAGAGAATTATTTAAATTTGTTATTTACCGCTCATCATTTTAAAAGCACTTACATTTACGTAAGATAAAAACTGAATTAAAATTAAAATTGAAAATTAGAATAGAAAAACTTAACTAATTAAATTTACATAAAATTAAAATTGCATTAGCATAAAATTAAAAGTAAAAACGAACAGTAATTTAAAATGCAGTTTTCTTCAATATTCGAATTGAAAGAAAAAAATTCTTTCTACTCCTGTTAAAAATCAAGAAAAATAAATTTCTTTTCTCATAACTGAGCTCTTGTAAACGTAATTTTTTAATTAATTGGGACTGCATTTAGTAATCATAACTATTTAACTTTATTCGATGAGTTATCGTAAAGCAAAAATGAAAGTTAAACGTAGATAATTTTATCCCAATTAGGTGAAAATGACTCTTATAAAAAAGGAATACAAACAAATTAAATATAAATCGATACACAGAGGACTTATCATTCTGTATCAAAAAAATTACTAGCACATCATATTTAATTTAATGTCATATGCATTGTAAATAAAATAATAACTTTAAGAAAAAATTAACAAAATTTGTGCGATTCTCGCGGCGGATGTGTCATGAAGCTTTGGGAAAGTTTTGCGGTCTTTACATTCATTAAACATTTATAGTAACGATTTCAAAAAATTTCGCAGTCAAAGATTTACACTAAAATTTCGGAAAATTTATACCAGATAAGAAGCTGTAAGCAAAATGTTACAAAACAATTAATACAGTGCTTCGCTACAGAGACTTCAGATATTAAAATTTATAATAACTACCTTAATGTCAATTCCGGTTTTAGAGTTTTCTTATCTTTTCTATCTAAATTTTTTTACTGAAATCTATCTACATTTTTTTACTGAAAATATCTTTATTTTACGAACAAAAACCACTAAAACTGACAACTTCCTTATAGAAAAATTTTAGGAAATATTTTTCATATTTCACAGCTAGTATTTCTCCTTTTACGATACCAAATTAATGCATTGATATACTGAGATTCCATTTTTTAACACTGCGCTTGTATTGTACGTATATCCCATTCCAGACGTTTATCATATCACTTCGTTTATCATGAGCACAAATTACTTCCAAATTTTTTTTCTTATCTGAAATGTGACTTGGTTCATCAAAGTCTATCTTTGTATAGCTAATTCATAAAGGCTGGAGGATATTTAGTTTATGTAGTTAAAAATAGCTAAATGTAGTTAAAAAAGCTTATGCAGTTATTTTGCGACTCTAAAAAACTAATTGTAATTTAAGAATTTTTAGTTAAATGTATCTTTTTTGTTAAACTTGCTAAAAGAACAATCTGAAAAAAATAAGAATAAATAAATTTTTTTAAATGTTAAAGGTCAAATACTTGTTGCGTTTTACAATGTGTTCAGTCACCAGTTATTCCATGGTTGCATATTACGAGATTAAAAATACGGAATAATAATAATACTTGTAATAATTATTATTTGGTTAAACCTAAATAGTAGGCATTAGTTGTTAAAAGCTATGGTGGGAAGATAAGATGAATCACCTTGGGAAAGAAAATAGTCATCCAAGTAATTATAATAATGGGAGATACTTATGGAGAAAACAACAAATGAATACACATTTGTGATTAATAGCACAAACCGAGTGAAAAATGAATACATTAAGAATAATTGATTAATAAAATCATTGAGGGGAATAATGAAAGGATTTGACATCAATGATTTTGGAAGCACATAACTAAGTACCTTCTAAGCCTCGCTCATTAATTTCTGGATAATCGTTTCGAGTGATACTGAATATGAATAAATAAATATAGCGTCGCAGCAAAGATTTAAAAATGATTTATTTGAATATGAAGTGAGGATTGTTTGATTCTTTGATTGTTATTAGGAAGCCTTAATAAGAATATGAGATTATTTTCTCTTAAAAATCTTTGAATTTTATATTTTGTTCTCTGCTTTTGCATTTGTAAAGGAAAAGTAAAGCATTAGTGAAAGAAAACGATGCTTTGAGTGGGTTGCAGATAAGATATGCAGAGAATATTACAGCAGATAACGAAAAGTATACAATAGATATAAATGGCAAAAATGAAGGAGACAAAATAAAAATAGTTAGGTGACAAAAATTTTAATAATAAAGAAAGGATACATAGTTAGAAAAGTAGATTAAAGAGATGAGAAAAGAATAAAGGCATACAGAGAGTAAAGAAAGCAATGGTATTTGAAGGGAAAAAAAGGATATGCATTAATGAATGTAATAAATAAATTTAAATAGTGAGAATATTTGCATTAATAAGAATAATAAATGACGAAATATAGATGCAAATCAGCAAGAAAGAGTAAAACATTATGAAAATATTTAGATCACAACAGTTTTAATAACAGGAAAAAAAGTGATAAAAGTGATAAAAGGGAACAGAATATAGTAATTGCAGGGAGAGAGAATGAAATGACTACGATAATGAAAATGAAAAAAATCTGCTGTGTACACTACATGACTTCCTTGTAAGGAATATTAAATTATACGCACTTTTTCCTGCATTTCATTTAAACTTATTTCATCGAACTACATGAGAGATATATTTCTCATTCAATTAATATAGTTTTCACTTCGCGACAAGGCAAAAATACATAAAAATTCAAAATATCTATATTAAAAATAGAAAGATATAGAAAAACATAAAACACCAAATACAGTTAAAAGAATTTAAAAAATTGTTTTTTCACAATTAAAGCTGCAGTTCCTACGCAAAAACAAGCAGTTCGGCCAGCGCGCAAGAAGGTAGATTTTTCGGTGCACAAAATTGAAAGTTTACTTTTGGTCTCACTAGGCAAAAAGACATAGAAACTGAATTTCTTGTGAACGCTATGCTGAGCCAGTATATGAGATAATTTGATAACTTAAATGGTAATTCGAGAATGGATTGAGCATAATTTAATTCGCAAAAATAAAAGAAGACGCTACTTTGTTGTTGCGAAGCTTAGTTTCTCTAGATTGGCAACAAATTCAGAATTTATTAAGTTTCAAATGTAAACAAATATGGCTGTTAAGGTAATTTTTGCTGTGGTAATTTTAAAAGTTGGCTATAGCAGCCAATAATGGCTGCTATAGCCAACTTTTAAATCTTCTACTATAGAGACATTAGGTATTTTTGGAAGCAGGCAAGATAAAAAATTAGCAACGCCTTCTCCGGGAATCGCACCGCGGACCTTTCAATTACGCCTTGAGAGTGCAGACCCCTTCACCACGAAGGCTTGTTAAGAAGGTGGGAGAAATGCCTTATATACCCCCCTTTTTAAAGAGAGACTGGGACTTTTAGGGAACCCAATCGCCAAATCCTGGGTGAGAAGAATCATCTTCAAACAGCCTTTTAGTTCGGGCCCCAATGTAGAGGCATTACGTATTTCTGGAAGCAGGCAAAATGAAAAATTAGCAAAGCCTTCGCCGGGAATTGAACCTCGGACCTCTCAATTACACGCTGAGCATGCAGACCACTACACCACGAAGGCTCGTTAAGAAGGCGGGAGAAATACATTATACTACAACTATAACATGCAGTTTAACTATAGGCATAAAATCCTTAACCGGAAGATAAGAACAACATAATTCAATCATTTTTAAGCAAAAAATGCACAATTTACAAACATATAAGAATAAAGAAACTGAGCTCACTGAGCCGAGTAACAGATATATATATACAACATAATATATATATATATATATAATTAAAATGTAAATTCTTCAAGCTATAGCCTATGAGCTAAAGTGATACTTCGGGTCCTTTTAAATTTAGTTAGTATGCCTTTCTTACATTATATATATATATATATATGTACAAGTATATCAATATACTTTTGATGCGGCCAATTGCAACCAAAAGGGAGGTGCACGTCCGCATGTTATACCAGTCCCACATACAAATTTTCAACTTTCTGAGGCTATCTGTTTTTGAGTTATGCGAGATACATACATACGTAGATACGTATGTACTCTATACGTATATACGATAATCTCTTTTGAATCCATTTTAAATCAGTTTTATAAGTCGTTTGGGGAAAATGAGCCCAATATTCTGACCTTACGTAGAAATGTCACACAAAAACATCGTTAAATTGCTTTCGATAGCAGTCAAACGGATATTCTCGTTGAAATATGCTACCGGAATATTTCATGATTACAATACTTCCTTTACTTCGTACAAGGAAGTAAAAAAGAAAAGAAGACAGAGTTTTAAAAATTGTACAACAAATACAATAAGAGTCCCATTTATCCAACATGATAAGTATTTCCGTTCAACCTGTGAAAATTATTTTCGGCTGCTTAAGGTAGAAAAACCTGCGTATAACGTTAAGCCAATATATGCATTTATATAGCTATGTGTATGAAAATAAACACATTTCTCTGCATAGTTTAACAAATGTATAACCTTTCTGCAACCCTTATGAGAGGTGCATCATTTAGTGTCTGTTCAGTGAAATGTGAGACAACCTGCCACAATAAAG